GGGCTCCAGCTCCTCCGAGTGGCTGGGGCCGCCCGGCGCAGGGCACCGCTGGCCCACGCAGCCGCACTCCTCCACCTCCGAGTAGCGGAAGGCCCGGCGCGAGCCATCGGTGCAGTGCAAGGTCACGGTCTTCGGCGCCGTGCGCAGCTCCTGGCAGCAGCGGCACGTGTGCTCCAGCGCGTTGGCCTCCAGCGAGTATCTGCGGGGAGGGACACTCAGATGACCGCCCCAGCCCACACCGACACCCCCGGCCGACTGTCCAGGTGTCAACAGCCCTGAGGCCGGTTCCAAAGACACGCTGGACATAGGGTTAGAGGCGGCCACAGCAGAGGACTCGGGATCTTGGTGAGCGGGACCAGAGCCCCAGTCCCACATCCTGTCTGCCCAGGACCCTGCTCCCACCTCACCCCAGGCCCCGGACCCCTGCGGAGTGCCCTGCCTGACCCACCCTCGTCTGCCTGGCACCCCGAGCCTAGGCCGGCCACCCCTGCTGCTGCCCGCGCTTCTCCCCTGCCCCCGGCCCACGTACATGGAGGAGCTGTCCCCGCAGTTGCCTCGGCAGTAGGCCAGGCGCACGGGCCCCGCGGAGCTGCAGGCTCCCTGCCGGACGGTCTGGAGCTTGTGGTACACGGCACAAGTTGACCCTGGGGGGACACGGGGTTAGGATGGCCCGGTTGCCCCCAGCACCTCCGCGGGCAAGACCCGCCCCTCCAGCGACACTCACCGTTCTGGATCGGTGGGGGTGGGCAGAAGAGGCAACAGCCGTCCTCGCTTCTCTGGGCCTGGGCCTGTGAGGACGGGGGTGCCGTCAGGGCCCGGGCACTCGGCGGCCCGTCCGGAAATGGGGGGCTAGGACGCCGGGCCAGGCTCAGGAGGGGACAGCCATCACACGGGAGAGGACAGCCATCACGCAGGAGAGGACGGACCCCATGCATGAAAATAGGACACCCCTCACGTAGGAGAGGACGGCCCCATGCAGGAGAGGACGGCCCCATGCATGAAAAAGGTACAGCCATCATGCAGGAGAGGACAGCTGTCACACAGGAGAGGCCAGCCCCTTGCAGGAGGGGACAGTCGCCACATGGGAAGAGACAGACCCAGGGCATGTCCTCACTGGCACTGCAGGGACTGGCCACAGCTCCCCAGACTGACTAGGGGTGAGCCCCCTTGGCCGGGGTGGGTGGGCCTTGGAACTCACCACAGGACAGCTGAGTGGGGGACAGGCCTTCTTCGTGGTGACCACCACGAGCCCGCCCTGGTATATCTCACACTCGTGGGTCACGCAGTGGTTCCCGGGGTCTGACCAGGTCTCGCCGGGCTGCGAGGAGACCAGGCCCGCGAGTGAGCACCCTCCCTCCCTCTCCCCCGTCTGTCTGCCTGGCCCTCAGCCCTCGGGCTTCCAGGGGGGCCCTGTCCACTCAGGGGCTCCCAGGACCCTGCCTGCTCAGAGCCCACCACCCTGCCCGCTCAGAGCCCCTGACCTTGTCCACCCAGACCCCTCCCGGCCTGCTCAGAGCTCCCCCACCCCAGCACCCGCCTGCTGTCTCCATGTCTCACACCCTCGGACCCCAAGTGGGACATGGTCTAGTTTTCGGTGGCCCTGGCCTCCCACCCAGGACCCAGGCCCACGCCCCGAGGCCGCCAGCCCTCCCTCGATGGATGGCTACTCACGTAGAAGAGGTGGGCGGGGCCCCCGCTGCTGTTGCTGACGCAGGCCACCTGCACACAGGTGCCACAGCACCGCCCACTCAGTGGCTGGTACTCGAAGCCCTGGGGGGAGGCATGCAACTGAGCCCCAGTGCGGCACGGGGCAGGGGGGGGCGAGGGACGGGGGCGGAGAAGCAGGCAGTGCAGAGAGGGAAGAAACAGGAAGGGAGGCGGGCGGCTGAGCTCAGCGCTGCCCAGGAAGCGGGTGGTGAGGGAGGAGGAGGGGCGGGGGTGCTCACCACGGGACAGCGGGTGTTGCAGATCTGGGTCTCACAGCTGACCACAAACGTGTGCGACCCGGGTCCGCCGGGCAGCTCACAGCGGCAGGTCTCACACAGGCTGGAGGAGACCACGGCGCCAGGCTGGGGAGTCGGGGCAGCTGCTGAGCTCAGGTGGGTGGGGCTGGGAGGGGGTCCCACATCCTGCCCCCCGCAGCCGTCCCCGCCTGCCCCCCCAGCCTCCCCTGGTCAGTCTGACTCTCTGGCGCAGAGACACAGCCTGTGGTCCCCAGCCCTGGGGCGGTGCCACGCTGCACCTCTGTGGTGTGTGCGTCCCACGAGCCCACACCAGCCTTGGCTCAGGGTAGAGCCCCAGGTTCCTGGCCAGCTGCAGGGCGGGTGGAAAAGACGTGAGCCCCTAAGGACTCCCTGGGCCCAGATGCAGGTGGGCCAGGCCAACCTCGGGCCTCAGTTGGGTGGGACAGTGGGCTGATCCGCCGAGAGGCAGTTCCCTGGCCCCAGAGGGAGCTCCCTGGCGAGTTGCCTGGGAGCTTCGAAATGGGGTCTGGAAGGGCTCAGAGTACCCCCCCGCCTCCTCTGCCTGCAGTCCAGGGTGGGCGGGAAGCTCAGTCCCCGGGGACTGCAGGGTCTGAGCTCAGTGGCTCTTACCTGGTACAGGGTTCCGTTGACACTGCAAACCGTCCAGCCTGCCCAGGGAGACAAACGCTACAGCGGCCTGGTAGGGACCCGCCTGCCCCCACTCCCATGCCACCCTTCTGTCCTGGCCAACCTGCCCTGCCGCCTCTGCCCTCCCAGGCACACCAGCGGCTCCCAGGCTCAGTCCTAGGGATTGCTAGGCCTGGTCCTTCGAGGTGACCAGAAAGGCCTGGTCTGCTTATGCCCTGAATTCCCAGGCAGGGTCCTCAGCCTGCGGCACCCGACACAGTCAGGAACACTCACTGCAGTTTTGGGTGGGACAGCAGGCCCCCTCCTCATACGTCAGGGCTGGGCGGGAGCCCTCAGGGCAGTCCACAGGCTTGGGGCAGTGGCTGATGTTGCAGGCTGTGGGTGGGAGGCAGGTGGTAAACGGTCTGCACCACCCTGCCCCGGCCAGGCCCCAGAGCCCACCCCCCAGGGGTCTCCAGGAGTGCTGGCCACCCAGGGGGGTCTGCTGGAGGAGTCTCCAGACAAGGCTGCAGCTGGGGTGGAAGGTGCAGCCCCCACCTGGAGCCAGGATGCCCCACCGGCACTGCCCCCCTTGTCCTGCCCATGCCCATGGCCACCCACAACACCAGGAGAGCACGGGCTGGAGAGCCCACCTCCTGGGGCAGCAACTTGACCCGCCTGCAGAGGGCTTACCACATCTGTACTGGGGGCAGCACTGGCCAGCCTGCAGGGTGGCAGGCATAGGCACGAAGCCAGGCAGGGGGCAGGGAGGGGGCGGAGGGCAGGGCCTGTTCCGGCAGGTCATCGTCCATGTGGTCCCATCGCAGGTGCACTCCTGGCAGTCCACGCTGACCGTGTGACCCGGCTGTAACAGGAGACCCGTGAGCCCCAGCCATGACAGCTGCAGTGGGGGGCTCTTGCAGGATGAGGGGTTGGGGGTACAGGACAGGCCTGGGGGAAGGGTCTCCAAAGATACAAGTGGGCCCAAGGCGGGGGGAGGACCTGGGAGACCAGGAGACCGGGTGGGCAAGGCTCATGGAGGGCTGCCCTGTGCCGGCACCCCATGCCTTCATAGGCCTCAGAAGGGCAAGAGGGTTCCCAGGGAGGGAAGGGCACGGCCGGTCGGAGGGGCAGCACCCAGCACCAACTCACAGGCAAGGGCATTGCCCCGAGGAGGGCAGAGTGGGTGCCCAGGGCAAGGCCTCCAGGTGGCTCCAAGGCCTCCAGGTGGCTCCTGCCTCAGCACCAGCAATGAAAGGAAGCCCCAGCCCCCACCTCGCCATTTCTGGGCCCGAGTTCCAGGAGCCGCCCTCCTCAGCTCCTGGCCTGGCAAGGCCACTCACCTCCACCGGCTCCCCATGTGGCCCCAGGCACCCTGCAGGGAGACAGGGCCCAGGTCACCTCACCACGGACGGCACCATGGCAAGGGCAGAACCATGTGGGGGGTGGACCCCGGGACACACCCGCCCAGCCCGGACACGTACGGGGGCAGCCCACAGGCACACAGACTTGGGTGCTGGTACTGAACAGCGTCATGCCGTCGGAGCAGAAGCAGCCTTCCGTGATGGGGCCGGCCTCCTGGAGAACCCTATGGGGAGCACAGGGTTGGTGGGTGCCCTGGCCCCCAGGGCAGGAAGAGCCCGGGGGAGGGAGATGCGGCCGGGGTGCCAGGCGGCTCTGGGTGGCTCTGGGTGTGCAGGTCATAGCGGGTCCCGGAATACGTACACGAGGCTGTTACTGTCATTCCCGTAGCAATAGGAAGGGCTGACGGGGCCACATGCCTGGTACACCTGGTCGACCGGGCAGTTGAATGCTGCAGGGAGGAGAGGCCACAGCTGAGGGGCCGGAGGGTGCCCGCCCCAGAGCTGACCACAACTACCCAGTGGTCCAGGCCATGAAGTTCACATGTGGCACCCGGGCCACGGCTTCCCTGACTTGGATGCCCATCCTTGCTCTCCAAGGAATCGGGTGCATTCAGTCCTGGAGTCGGCCTCCTCCTCCAGGTAGCCCACCCCGACCCCCGAGCCCACCCTGATCATCCACCCAGCAACACGGCGCCCTGGGTGGGCGGCCCACGGGCGGGGCACTCACTGCATGTGTGGTTGGTCCAGCCCCTCCAGTCCACGCACACGCCGTAGGACGCACACAGTGATGCGTACAGCTCCAGGCCAGAGCACACCACCCCCGGGTCAGTCATGTGGCATTGGTCGAACACGCAGCCCTCGTAGAATGACCGTGGGGGGACCACGGCATGGCACAGTTCAAAGACCCTGTGAGTGGGATGCACAGGGAGCTGAGGGCAGCCCGGCCCTCCCGGCCACCTGCCGGCCCCTCGCAGTGGATCCCAGGCGGCCACTCGGACGCCCAGCCCCCTGTCTCCCAGGGCAAGGCATGTCCCGTGTGCTCGGGGCGGGGATCCTCCAGATGGCACCGCCCATTTCTTCTTGCAAACTCTGCCCACAGACTCCCCCTCACCCTGCAAACCTGGGTGCCGCCTGGGGGGAGTGACCGCTGCCATGTGGACGGGCCTGGCCAGCCTCGACCAAGCCCGGCAGTGGCTTTCCAGCCTCAGCTGGCCTAATGGGAGCCCCAGTGACGGCACGGGTGGCCTGCGGCTCTGGCTCTCCCTCAGGGCCCCCCAGACCTGCTTTTGCCCCGCAGCCCGTGAGGGCAAGGGCAGCCCGGCTGCCACCCCGCCCCGCCTGCACCCCAGCCTCACTCGCTCAGAATCAACTGGCAGATCGGCGACGGCGAGCACGGGGCTGGCGGGGTTGTGGGCCCGGCTGTGGTGTGGCCGGCGGGGGTGGGTGCCGGGGGGGGTCCGCGGCAGGCCGGCTGGCCGGGGAGGGTCACATTCCAGAGCCAGGACATCTGGGAGCAAGAGGCGACTGCGGCTCCACTGGGCTCGCGGCACTCGTCCCTCTGGTCGTTCGTGCAGGTGCCTGGCAGACACGCGGGAGTCCAGTCAGGATCACAGGG